TTTGTATCATAAAGCTCTCAAGATAAGCAATTTATGAAGGCTTCAACAGGTCATAAACTTAAAGCTACAAGGAACAAATAAATAGAAAAAGAAAGAAGGAAAAAAAAAGCACTTATTCAAGAAAAATCAAGAACTGGTTCAAAGCAAGTGATAATTTACACATATTCTGAAATGGGATTTACAATCTCCCTTAGTTAAATGTTAAACTGAAAACTCAGCATCTAAGTTAAACTGAAAGACCAAAAAATTCAGCATCTAAGTTAAATGTTGAAATTGAGAAATCAAAATCCAAGTTCAACTGCAAAATCGAAACTCCAGCATCTAAGTTCAATGTTAAAACTCAAAAAACAGCATCTCAGTTCAACTGAAAAACAGAAACAGAGACAATGACGATTTTACCAAATCATGCAAATAAAGCCCTACACCGTGAAAGAATTAACAAATCTACAACAGGGGTGGAACTCAATGTTAACAAACTGGCCCCTAGCCCACCGCAAACTGAAAAATCAGCATCGACGTTCAACTTCAAAATCCAAAATTTCACCATCTACGCTAAATGTGCATAGTTCAGAGGAGGAGACCGGCCTAAACCCTAAATCGCAAACTTAGTGCAAGAATTTTTACTTTCAATTTGGGTAAAAACAATTTACCAAATCGTGAAAGATCATGTCTAGTCACCTTATACATCTTCATAAATTAAAACATAAACATTCAAAACCAACATATTTCACGTCAAAATTGCAAGTTACCAGTAATAGAACGGTTCCGAGATGATGTCAATCGATTTTGTGGTGGAATGATACCGTCTCTGATACGGCGTTAGGTTTGAAAAAGGGTGCGGAGCTGTGCCAAACCAAGGTGCTGGAGATGTACGGCTGCCGGAGGTTGGGATGACGTCGAAGGTGCTGGCGTTCACTGGCTGTAGGAAGGTTGTGATTTTTGGAGGAATGGTTTCTTTCAATTGTTTTGGGGGAAAATGACGGGGAAGTGTGGAGAGGGAGAAGGGAGGTGGGTTTTCTAATTTTCAAAAAAAAAAAAATTTTATTCACGCCATGTCACTTTGTAAAGTAATTTTGTCAAGCTACTTTGTACGAGTAGCGCGCTCGTTGGGAATATGATCTCAGCTACTCGGATCCAGAACATCTATAGATTTCTCAGCTTCATTGTGAGTCCTATGTTTTAGCCCTATTTATTCATAAAAATTTCATATGTCGAATGTTGGATGAAAAAGAATGTGACTTGCATGCAAAAAGGTGGATGGAGAAAAAGAGTAGTCATGACCTTTCTATTGGATCTAGGAGCTTCATATATCAATGGATATCAAAATAATTGTAATAGGTTTTCAACCTCTAGTAATTCATACTAAATTTTGAATCAACTAATGATTTGATTTCTTGCATAGTTTTCTACTGTAATAAAAAAAAAATCTCTTTCACATTTTTTCTTCTCTCTCCCGTAAGGTAGTTAAACCCCCCTTCTTTTAACCTATTGCGCTAAAATCTTGCAAATGTACGATATCATAAACAAGTAAAATAGTGAACATGAATTCAAGTACAATCTCACAAGAACTAAAG